TCAACTCCCAGAATTCCTCAGCCAGCTTTGCTGGCTGAGGAATTCTGGGAGTTGAAGTCCACAAGTCTTAAAGTTGCCAAGGTTGGACACCCCTGATCTAACCAATCACCCCACACAACCAGCAAATGAGCTCTAACCCTTGCCCAGGCCCCCTGGCTCAGGCACAAAGACCCACACTTTCTTCCCCAGGAGATTTTAAGCAGCCAGGAGTGATGTGAAGGTCCTATCAGTCCTGAGGACCCTGGCCACTTTCTCAGGATCAAATAGGATCAAACTCTCCCCAGATAACCAAGCTAGACCCAGCCCCAGTAACCACCACAGTATGGAACTATCTCCCTTATGAATCTTATAGAAGAAGGAATCTTCCAGCTGTCCTGCAGTTGTCTGCTAAGCGTGTTTTCCTCCGTTGATTTTTTCCCCCCCCTCTCAGTATGGTTGCAAGGGTTGTGGTCGAGGATTTTGCTCAAGCTGCCTTGGATTCAGTGCCACTGTTCCTCGTTGTGGGGACACTCAGCAGAAGGTTTGCAAGCAGTGTCATGGAGAGTTAAGGTAAGAACAGAACTGAATTCTGATCTAAGTGATGGATTGATACCGTGTTTCTCACAAAATAAGGCCGGGCCTTTTTTTTTTGAGCCCCGAAAAAACGGCTAGGAAGTTTTTTCGGGGGTAAATTAATTTCTCCCCCCCCCCCCCCGTGCACCAGCGCCGTCTCCAACAACAGCGTCTGAGTCGCTCCCGCTTTACCCCCGTCCCCATAACAACAGGAAAAAAAACATTTTGAGGTACCTGGGAGTGCCGCGTGCTGCATTTTGGTTTAATCCCGAGCGACTGGGTGGGTGTGAGAAGAGCGGAGCGAGCGTCTCTGCTGCTGCTACCCTTGGTGCTCCAGCCTCGGGCTTTGCAGGTTTGCAAAAGTCCCGGTGCGCAGCCCGTTCCTGCATTCCAAGCACCCAGGCCGAGCTGCAGCTGTCCCTCTCTCGCCAGCGCCGTCTCCAATAACAGCGGCAGCAGCGGCGGGAACCGTGGAAGTTACGGAGGCGGCTCCCCCACCCGAGAAGTGGCTGAAACGCTTCCATAGTTCCCGCCGCTGCTGCTGCTGTTATTGGAGACAGCGCTGGCGAGAGAGGGACAGCTGCAGCTCAGCCTGGGCGCTTGGAATGCAGGAACGGGCTGCGCACCGGGACTTTTGCAAACTTGCAGAGCCCGAGGCTGGAGCACCAAGGGTAGCAGCAGCAGAGACGCTCGCTTGGCTCTTCTCACGCCCACCCATCCGCTCGGGATTAAACCAAAACTCAGCGCGTGGCACTCCCAGGTACCTCAAAATGTTTTTTTTTTCCTGTTGTTACGGGGACGGGGGGAAAGCTGGAGCGACTCAGATGCTGTTGTTGGAGACGGCGCTGGCAAGAGAGGCGCCAGCACTGGTCGGAACCATGAAAGCTACAGAGGCCTGAGAAGCGGCTGAAACGCTGCCAGACATCCACGCTGACGCCGCCCACCTGCTGACCCGGGTAAGGGAGGGGTAAGGGAGCCCTCCGTGCTCCAACATGGTGTTAAGAGCAGCTGATGGTGAGGCATAGCTACCTGCTGGACACTCCTAATGGCAAGTTCCCCCCGCCTTCCCCCCCCAATTTCGCATGTTTTAAACTAGGCCTAAATTTGGGAGGAGGGGCTTAATTTCATTTTATGCCTAGAAAACATGCTGGGTCTTCCTATTGGTGGGGCGTATTGTTGGAGAAACACGGTAAAATTGCAGAGCTCAATAAACAGCGAGTTGCTATTTTAGCATTTTGTGTATTAGCTGAAATCCACATAATTATTTAGGAAATGTACCACCATATTCATTATTCTACAATGCTAAAAGATTTTTCTGGGAGATGAATTCTGGCATTAAGGACCCAGATTGTTGGGGGCAATATGCTGACTTTGTAAACCACTTAGAGAGGGCTGTAAAAGCACTGTGAAGCGGTATGTAAGTCTAAGTGCTATTACTATTAAGTTCTGACCTTATTGGCCCAGAGTTTCTTTCTCTCACGACACTTAAAAGTGTCACATAAGGAATGTAGACAGGGTTGTGCTACATACGATACTAATGCACTATGAAACTGATTATAAATATATTTATTTTGCATATATTCTGACTTCCAAATGTTAGAGGGATAGATTCAGTCAAATAAAACATTGATAATTAGTCCCAAATCAATTTATTCGTTTTATAGTGTAGCAGTTTGAGTCTCTATTTTGTGACATTCTTATTTTTCTTTTCAGTGCACCATCTCAGTCAAATTCAGCTAGATGGTCTCCACCAGAGAACTATAGGAAGTGAGTTCCAATAATCACAAAACTAGTTTTCCTTCATGATCTTTATATATCTGTAAAGCAAAGTATATATATGTGTTATGATGAATCACCAATGGCCTTAGCCATTTTTCAAATTCCTTTACTTGTTGCAGGATTTCACTTCTTTATATTAACAATCCCAAAAATGTAATTTCTTTCTCAAAATAACCACAGCAGGACTTTTCAACAATTTTCTCACTATAGATCTTGTTAATTTAAAAAAATAATAATCCAAGAACCCCTGATCAGGAAGCAAGCACCAGAGATAAAAAATTGCCAATAATATGAAAAACTAAGAATAATATGCATACACTGAGGAGTATATATATCTAGGATGTGCATGACAGTTTAATATTGTGATACTGAAAAATGGTGCATTAAAATCATTATTTGTGATGTCACCTAGGATGAATATGTTAGGGATGCTTAACTGAAGTCATTTGACCCCCTGTCTTTTGCCTGTCTGCCTTTGTAAATGTAATTCTCGTATATTTATTCCCTCCTACTCTCCTTCTAAAATAATAGTAAAACAGGAAACAGTACCTTTATAAACAAGCAACTGCTTCTGCCCTAAGCAAGGTTAAACCCATTGGTTTCTAATGGCAGTGGAACAGAGTTCAATAACTAAGAGATTTCAGCGTAAGAGTCAAATTTTAAACTCTGGCCAATCTATACATCCAGGATAATGAGGGTATCAAAAGTGTTTGCCAATCCTGATATAATCTTCCTCTGAACTTCTGTGGTGATATGGTGGTGCAGTGGTTAGAGTGCAGTATTGCAGGCTAACTCCAGCCCACAGTCAGGAGTTTGATCCTGACCAGCTCAAGGTTGACTCAGCCTTCCACCCTTCCGAGGTCAGTAAAATGAGGACCCAGATTGTTGCCTGACATTGTAAATGCTCAAAGAATTCTGTAAAGCATGATGGAGCGGTCTATAATTTTAAGTGCAATTGCTGTTGCTATCTGTAAGGACTGGTCCATTCACTTGTGCTTGTAGGTTGCTGGATGAATCAGTGCTGTTTTATTTCAGCGAAACGTGTGGATGAATTTGGCAAACCTCTCTCTGTTTCTGTGTCTTGCAAGGCTCACATTGTCACTTGGTGCCTCAGTGATTAAACTGTGTAGTATGCGAATCAAGTCTTAGAGAAGCACTTACGATAATCCTGTTAATTCACCCAGGACTTGCTTTTGCAGGCGGATTGCAGCTCTTGAAGCTAAGCAGAACCAGACGCAGAGTCCTCAGAAGGGCTTGGTGAAATCTCAGAGTCAGACGGACTCCAGATATCGAGGGTTATCAAAAGAGGATAAGATTCTAACAGAGAGACTGGAGAGGCTCAAGAAGGCAGCAAAGCCTAGTGAGTTGCTCATATTTTCATGCTGGGGTCTGCTGAAAATAGAAAACAAATCAGAATTCAAGAACAGAATTCTTAATGTTCCATTTATACATGCAACGCTCTTGAAACGGTTTCTAAAAGAAGGCAACGTGAGCACCAAATGCCTCGATTTTTGTTTCCATAGTAGATTAACATTGAGCATGTTAAAATAGATACATATATTCTCTTCCTTCCCCTCCCCTCCCCTCCCCTCCCCAAACTCTGGCTTACAAGTGCTTAATGCTGGGTCGTTGCTATTCTCCAAGTTTGCATTTCGTTCTGCAGATCTTTTATTACCGGGCTGAGTAACATCATCGGTGCAGGGGGAGTGGAAGAGAACAATGCAGTAGTTTTTCTGCTCACGAGGAAAAGATTAGATGCCCTTTTCTGAGCAATTTGCTATTTAACAGAGATGATTTTCGATGGGTGCATGGTGAGGCCAATACTGACGGTTCCATAACCCTGAATCAACACTACCAGTTTCTGCATTTGAAAATGTGCCATTTTGCCATTGGTTTATATGTATGGAAATAGTTTTATGCTTCTTTTGGTCACTATTAGCAAATAAATCTGCTTTTAAATTGCACAGAGTCTATTCCATCCCAGGCGGAGATAGAATCTAGGCTGGCGGCACTGAAAGGAGACTCTGGAAGAGCCATTCCGACAACCCAAGAGATGGAAGACCGTTTGGCAGCCTTGCAAGGCAGAACACTTCCATCTGCAGCCCCCAGACCCGTAAGCTACCTTTGCTTAAAAACAGACTTTTCCCAGAGTTTTTCCAGCTAGAGAAAATATTTGAACATTACCTGACTCTTCTGATTTGCCCCCAGATTGCAATGTTTAAATGGGACAGAAAGGAAAATCATTAATATACAGGCAGTCATTATTTTAACTGTATTTAATTTAGCTGAATTAAATTTAATTACCTGTACCTCTCTTGTTTTGGTCAGGTACACCAGGTCCCCAGCAGCAAGACTCAGGTGGAGCAGTCAGATGACTTGCTGAACCAGATGGCTGAAGAAGTTGCCATTGATGAGAGTGGAGGCTTCACAATTACATCTCAAGGTTTCTCTTTAGCTTTAATACGCATTCTTAGTTTTGACGTAGAAATGGAAGCAAGTAGGTCCTGAAATCTCATGCAACAAAGTGAGCCCCCACTACATGATAGCAATGTGGGGAGACATGATAGCAGTCTTCCAATATTTGAGGGGCTGCCACAGAGAGGAAGGGGTCAAGCTATTTTCTAAAGCGCCTGCAGGCCAGACAAGGAATAATGGATGGAAACTGAACAAGGAGAGATTTAACCTGGAAATAAGGAGAAACTTTTTGACAGTGAAAACAATCAACCAGTGGAACACTTTTCCCTCGGAAGTTGTGGGAGCATCATCACTTGAGACTTTCAAGAAGAGATTGGATTGCCATTTATTAGAAGTGGTATAGGGTCTCCCGTTAGGGTGGGGGGGATTGGACTAGATGACTTACAAGATCCCTTCCAATTCTGATTATCTGTTATCTACTGTTCTTGATCAAGGGGCTGCAAGGATGCCCGTTCCAGAGACCTTGCGTTGCTTCCAAACCCTCCTCCTTAGCACCCAGTTCAATTTTGGTGAAAAATTGCCACTAAAATCCTGTAGTTTCTATTTGTCTTCTGATTGTATTGACATAATGTCATTATTTATTAATGGATGAATCAAATAATTGTCTATTCGGTCTCTGCTTTAAGAGATCCAGCAAGAAAATAATCTATCATCTTGTGCTCCATTATCAAAGAGCACTTCACGGTCAAAAACTTTTGGTTCATCTGAAATCTGCATTTCCCTAACATGGTTATTATTTGGTGCTTGCCTTCAGGAAAGGTAGTGAGTAGATTATTACTTTCTTCAGTGTGTGACACCCTGTCAGATATTTGAAAAGAGGTATCATATTAATACTCTTATTCCCCAATCAAGACAAAATCTTTCTGTAGGCCAGAGGTCTCTGTTAGGAATGATAGTCACCTAACAGTTGGGTTGGCTATATATAAACCAGGATAGTCATATAATACTGTTGTATCTTTAAGAGAATGCTGTAATTGTGATTGGCTGAGGTTCCTCCAACAGCCATAAGATGGAGCCAAAAACCTGGTTTGTTCTCTCTTGCATTTCTCTATTGCCTTTTGCCTGATCATCATTCTGCTGGAATTGCTGTGAGTCTTGCAACTATTAACAAACTCCATTAACTGAACTTTGTTTATGATACTGGGCTTCGTTTTTGGATTATCCCTGGACTGATTGTATTGAATACTAACTGCTTTAACCATGTATGATTTGGACTGTTTGTTGGACTTTGTTTACCCGTTTACTGGAAGTAAAACCTACATTTTACTATTCAGTGTATCTGTTTGCTGGCTGTGTGTTATTCAGCACCACTCTCACTGCATTTCCCTGAGTGCACTCATTCTCCTAACGGGGAATACCTCAACAGTCTCCAAACTTGGCAACTTTAAGACTTGTGGACTTCAATTTCCAGAATTCTGGGAGTTGAAGTCCACAAGTCTTAAAGTTGCCAAGTTTGGGGACCCCTGCTGTAGGCTCTAGGGATTCTTGTTTCCTGCCTTGTTTGACACAGCCTTTTTGAGTGTTGAGTGCTGACCGGAGGAAACCTCTTAGATCAGAGGCTGATTGAAGATCAAAAAAACACTACTCAAATTTGCATGGGAAAGACAGAAGAGACTTGTGAACCAGCAACAAACCTTTGAATTATCTCACATCTTTTAAAATCTTCTATTCAAACTTCTTTATTATAGGACAACCAGCAATTTGAATGGATAAACTGACTCCAGACACTGTGGCATAATTAAGAGTGTTTAGGCTGGGACCTGTTTTATTTTTGGCAAATTATTCTAATGGCTGAGTGATTGTGGTGCCAGCTGTGAATTCACTCTAGGTTTTTGCTGTTTCAGAAGTGAGGACACAGAACTGGAATGATTTGAATCAAACAGATGCCACTGCAGGCATTTCCGATCTGTCTCTCAGGCAGTTGGAGGAGGAGAAAACGAAACTATTGGCACAGGCGGCGGCTGAACTCAGGGAGGAAAACACCAGGGAGGAAAAGATTTTGGAAGTGGCCAAGCGATTGGCAGTTTTGAAAGGCAAAGATCCTCAGACAGGTACAGTATGTAACAAAAAGTATTCAGGCCATCTCAGGAAAACTTTAGTTTATTTGACAACGAATCTTGGTTGACTAATAGGAAAAAGCCCAAGTCATAATTCTCAGAAGAACTTCTATTTCCTGGGGCTAGGATTTTGATTCGTTTAAAAGCGGGTAATTAATAGGGATTGATAGCTGGGAAGAAATGTGAACGGAAATACTTCGTTTGTTTCATAAGCAAAGCTGTGAAACCAAAGCTCTCTTTGTCCCAACAGGCTAGACAAACAGGGTACATTCATGGGGTTTCTCCAAGCCTGGCACCAGCATATGACACCGCTGAGCAGCTGATGGGCCGCTGGGTTCTTTTGTTTTTGCTTTTCTTGATTTGGGTGATGATTTTTGCAGTCATCTTGATGTAGTATCAGTCTGGGGCATAGTGATAATGATGGCACAACTGATTGGTTCACTGCTGTTGTTGTCTGTAGGATGAGTCCCTAGGGCTTCCAGATGGGAGGTTCTGACCGTGGGTTAATCCTCCACAGGAGGTTTTGTAGAGGCCTTCTCCACTTTAAAGTTTATCCATTTTTATATCTCGAGTATACTTTCTTTTAAAATAGCCCCACTTCAGTATTAACCCCTAGTATTGCTCATGGCATATCAGCAGCACACTAACACACTCATGCCTCTCACGAAGCAAAGGAACGAAAGAAAACCAAAGCTGGCCCTTTTAGTAGAAACTTAATATGTAGAAATCAGTATATAATGGGTTTTTTATTATTAATACAGAGCTAAAATGAATTGTGATATTGCAGGTAAACTGCTGCGAGTGGCACATGCACAGTGAGCTGCCAGCATTAATAGGTTAGATTAGCCCTGGCAATGGAAAAAGACAAACTTCTGATGCTTAGAAATCACGCTGGCTTTGAGAAGGTGGTGTCAGAAGTGATGAACAGCTCCGAATCCTCCCAGAAAGAGAACTTAACACATTGGAGGATGAATCCGAACAGATCTTTGTTACTGAGAAGAGAAACGAATGTCTTTGAGAAAAGGACCAAGGAGAACAAAGATGAGGAGGATGGCCTACTGGCTGCCTTGAGACCAAAGAATATGCATATCAAAGGATGGGGTGGAGATTACTTGGCCGTCTTTCAGGACCTTCCATATCAAAAGTGATAGAAGTTGGATTGTCACTTATCCTCTCTTCTGCTTTGTTAAGGACTTGAAAGATTAATGGTCAAATTAATTCCACTGTATGGGAGAACTTAAGGAAGGCAAATATCATGGTTCCAAGCAATGAACCCAATTGAATCAGGACTCAGAAGCTCCATTCAGGCTTGGAAGACCTTTTATTGAGACATCCTATCGGCACTTAGAAAGTTGAAGCTAACTCTGGGTAATTCCCACCCTTCAGAGTAATAAAAAGAATAGAAACTTCCCACCCACCCCTCAGGTGTCTTGGGTCACCAGGATCTTCCCCCTCAGTCTCAGCAGATGTTCATTGCCATGTATAAGTATTTTTAAATGTTTAATTAGACTAATAAATATACACTATTGCCTCAAAGAGGGCTTAATTCCTGCCGTCCTCACGTCATAGTTACATTTTAAAAACCATGGATCTCTACTTTAGGGTTTTCTGGGTTTTTAGATACCAGAGGTGGTATTCAGCCGGTTCTGAGCAGTTGCAGTAGCGTAAATTTTGAGCAGTTTGGAGAACCGGCAAATACCACCTCTGACTGGAGATTTTACAGCATCCTTCCCCTGCCACGCCCACCAAGCCATGCCTACAGAACCTGTAGTAAAAAAAAATTGAATCCCACCACTGATCTGGTGGATGTTTTGTCCAGTGGACTCAGGCACTGCATTCCAGTTCCTTCTAACTCCCCCTCCTTCCTCCCAAAGAGTGGCAACTAAGAAACGAAGCAAAAATAAATACGGCCTCGGCTGTAGCCATTTTGAAGTTGACAGCAAGACTGCATGTGGTACAGCATGATCTGTGGTTATTTGTAGTAACTTGAAATGATGAAAAGCTCCCTTTATGAAATCGTTATTACATGTTCAGTTTTCTTTTTCTTTCTTCAACAGTTACTTTGGATGATTACAAACTCCCCAATAGTGATGAAGAAGAGGAGGAAGCCATCCAGAGAGTTTTGAAACAGGTCTCTTGCAGCTGATGTTACTTATGCAGAGTTAATCTGATTGATACCTTTTACTTCACACCCAAGCCTGGTTTTCCCCATGGATTAAACTTTTTAACCTTCTGAGTGGGTTCAGAGGATAAAATGTGGCTTTGTAAGTTTTGTAGCTGAGTAAGGGTTGGAAATTTGAAATGCTTTATTTAGATGGATGCTTGCTAAACTGAAAATTAAGAGAGTAGAAGAAAGCAGCCTGTGAGGGTACTTGTTGCTTGAAAGAGAGACGAACAGCAAATCTATTTAATAAATAAGTTTATTGTATATTTTATTTTATTTTTTGTTACCAGCTTACTGAAGAAGCAGCTTTGGATGAAGCAAGCGGCTTCAATATTTCCCCAAATCAGTCTGCAACTGTGCAGTTGAATTCCACTAAGAAAACCAAGGTGAGCAACACCCCTGGATACATGCATGCACGGCATTGTGAAGCTTGTATCTTCAGGGCTGCAGCTAAGGCCCAACAAAAAGTCAGATCCCTCAAACTGTGTTCCCTTAGGATTTATCAACTGCTCCCAAATGCCAGGCCAAAAAGCAAATACCTGTGGATCTTATCTTGAAACTAAAAGACAAATGGTTTCTCCGGGGTCAGTTTGCCCCAAACTTAATACTTACCCATAATTTTGCACAGGGCTGGCCAGTTTTTTATGCAAAATTGGTAGCAACCTGCCAGGTTTGGACAGTAGAGGTGATGTTCACATAAACAAGGGAAATTTGAATGGGAATACATTCTTGAATTTTCAGGCATTAAAAACAAGTACATTTCAGTTATTCAAAGAATTATTATAGGTATTTTAGTAATCCTACAACTGCATTGGAACTCTTACTATGGATTTTTCATAATGTGGTTGCATGTTTGTATCTCCTCCACTAGGCACAAGCTCCAGTTGTTGCTAAACATCTAATCTGGCCTGCCAGAACATCAAACAGCGATGAAGAAGAATTACCCTGGTGCTGTATCTGCAATGAAGATGCCAGTGTGCGCTGCCACAGCTGTGATGATGACCTCTATTGTCAGCGCTGCTTCAGGTAAAAGACAAAATGTCATTGGGTAAGACGCAACTTCCCTTGCTATTTCTTTAGGAAACAGAAAGTCTGAAGCAAACCTTTTGAACCGAAGACACCATAAATGAATCAGCATAATTGGTAGAATATATAGTATTAAAGCTATAGACCCTAGGTCTTGGATCCTATGAGGAATTCCCTTTTGGATAGCAGCCTTGTTCTGTCCTCAGTACGCCTTAGTCTCTGTGCAGCTTGACATGCAGCTAAAACCACCTAACCTCCAATAAAACAGACCTGTTTGCATAGACCTGAATGCTTTGTTAAAAGAACAGGATATGGTGAAACTGGGGAAAATAGGGATACATAAAATGAGAGCGAAGTACAAGATAGGCAGTATTGAGTTCCTGCTGAACACAACAATTAATAAATGCAAGCAATCTAAATCTCACCAGTGATGCTCTTGTGTGGGGGATGTGAGTTGTCCTTGGATGACCATGTGCCACAGATTAAGATGGATTTTTCTTTGTGTTTCTGCCTTTCTCCAAATGCTAAAGGAAATGGAGTCTGGCTTCCCAGCATGCATTTGCTTTGAAAGTTCAGGCTGCTGGGTAGTGGGATGGGTTCAGCTTCAAACAATATACTTGGCATTTGTTCCTCTGGCCAGGAGATGGGGCTAGAGAGCAACAACAATATATAAAGGTCATATGTTAGGGTATATTTGTCCATCAGGCCACTAGATGGGGCTAGAGAGCAACAACAGTATATAAAGACTGTTTGGGCATGACAAGTCTCCTGTAGCACTAAAATGGTTTTCCCAAGAGATGGGGAATCTCCCAGGTAAGCACTGTGAGGAAAAGAAGAGGTGCAGTTGAAAAGGGAAGTTGCCGGAAAATACCTTCATATGTCTATCTCCTATGTCAAAACTTGGTTACTTGCTTATAGTGCTCGATTCTCCTGATTGGCATAGCTAACTTTTGCTTAACCTTGGCTAAATTTCCTGTTTTGGTTTTAGGGAAAGCCACGACGAGTATGATTGGAAGGAGCACAGAACATCTGGCTATCGTCCTCCCCGCCAGCAAAAATGAGCCCAAAGAGCAGGATGGGAAAGGTTTGAAAAAAGGCATCGGCCAGAAATGTTTTCCACTGGGCATCAGCTGGGCATAAAAATCAATTCTGGATACCGAGGAAAGAGAAACCTATACTTGGCAAGAACAAGAAGTTGCAATGAAATTAAATGAGACACTGAAGCTGGTTTGTTTTGTGAATAAGCCATGAAGAATGATACGGTTAAATAGGAAGGTTATTGTGCTCCTGAGGACTATGATTAGTGGAAAAATATAATATGAATATTTTAAAAAGATAATAAAAGATACAAAGAAAATAGCGCAATGAACTTGTACTCTGTTTCTTTGCTACAAAAAAATTAGGGCCTTATATTTCTGATTATTAGCAGCTTATCAAAAAATGTAAGTCATAATTTAAAAATTATATTCTGTCCTCAGGAAAAAAACGGTTGCTTTATGCAGTCCATGGACATTCCTAAGGGTGTCTAATTGGATGGAGGTTCACACCTGCATCATGTACATTCCAGTATGCCTCCCGTTGTCGCTCCTTCCTAAGATCATGAAGGGTTTGGGGATCATGAAGCATATGGAAAAGTCTTTGCAGAGACCAAGCCAAGCAGTCAGTGAAGGTACCATTTCAGGTTGATATCTGCAGAAGGGCTTCTGTGGCCTTATGCTGATCTCATAATCCAACTATGCCCATTCACTAATTTTTCTTTCAGTTATACCAGTAGTCTGTTGAAATACACATGGGGGCAAGGCAATTGAAATGTGGGTACTTAAGAAACTATGAAATTGAGACTTTTTAGATACTTCATTCCTGAGGCATCGTTTTTTTCATTTCAGGTGTATGTCATTCCTCTCCTCACTGTCAGATTTCATTGGAATTGTTCCTCCTGGAGCACCTGGCGGAGAGAATTGTGTCCACTTGCCTTTCTCCTCCAGGTTTCAGGCTTCAGGTGGAATGAGCAACTAGCTACCATGTTTCCCCCAAAATAAAACTGTGTCTTATATTAATTTTTGCTCCAAAAGACGTATTAGGGCTTATTTTCCAGTTAGGTCTTATTTTGGGGGAAATACGATATTAAATGTGTCTGGCTGATAATCTTAACTGGGGCTTATTTTGGGGATAGGGCGTATATTATGAGCATCCGGAAACATCATGCTGGGGTTTATTTTCCGATTGGATTTATTTTTGGGGAAACACGGTATTAATTCATCCCACTGCTACCTCATTGATGTTCAGTGTTGGCCTTATGTTGCATACACAATATATGGGATAGATTCATTTTTCCCTGGGATGGGGTGGGAGAGGCCAAGATGGCTGTTGATACCCTTCCAAATTCTCTTGACAATCAAACATAAACCTCACACTGCTGTTGTTCTTCCCTCATCTTGTCATCACTTCTGTATGAGAGGTTCTCTCTGTAGGTATAGCAGACATGATATTCTTCCGATTAAAATCGGAATTCCGATTTTTTTGGGAATCGCCCG